CTCTCTCTCTCTCTCTCTCTCTCACACACACACACACACACATAGGGGTGGCAACGGGTCCGGTTGGGTCCGGGTAGACCCCAACCCAGACCTGACCCAACAAGGTTACTTATGGACCTAGACTGGACCTTGACCTGGACCAGACCCGGACCTGGACCCAAACTCAAGTCAGGTCTAGGTCATATGGACCTAGACTTAGGTTGGGTCTGAGTCATTTTGACCTGGACCAGACCCGGACCTGGACCCAAACTCAAGTCAGGTCTAGGTCATATGGACCTAGACTTAGGTTGGGTCTGAGTCATTTTGACCTGGACCCTACAATTGAAAAAGAAAAAAAAATTAATTTTATACATTGTGTGTGTGTGTATATATTACATTTTTATATATTCTATGTGGGGTGGGGTCAGGTCGGATTGACCTGACCCGATCCAACCCAACCCAACCCAACCAGCCAGGTCCAACACATGGACCCGGACTCTGGACTCATTTCAGAGTGACCAGCCAGATTGGCAGGTCGATTTGACCCGATTCCCACCCCTACACACACACATGCATGCATCCAAAGTCTTATTCATGCATATGCTGGGTATAAACTTATGAAAAGCAAAAAATCTTGCTAAACTTTATTTTAGTGCCTTAAGATCTTGGCCAGCTCGTGTACAACTTTTTGTTTTTTCAAATATTATTTTTTGTTTGTCTATTAATATTTTTTTAGAAGTTATGCCCAACTTCTAGATTCAAATATTGGACATGGTTTTGGGTTGTCAGGAGTCCAAACTAAAAGCGGCAAGAGTGCATGTATACGTGAGGAGAGGTGGCCCGAATTACAAGACCGGTCTGGCTAAAATGAGAGCCCTCGCAGAGGAAATTGGCATCCCCCTAGAGGTAGGTATTGTGGAATAAAACGGGTATTGTGGAATAAAATGAAGATTCATCCGAAAGGAAATATAAAACTGACACAAAAGGAAAAAAGTGTAACTTAACTAAGGAAAAATGCAAGCGGCGAATCTTTTAACTGTATAGTTAAGTGTCACTCTTAAGAATTTCTTGGAGATGTTTAGTTCTTAGGAGATTTTCGAAAGTTTGTTGTGTTGATGAACATCTTGTGAGAGCTTTCAATAGAAGACGGTGCAATATGTCAAAAGTTTGTCCTGTTGATAAAAATCTTGGCAGAATTTTAAAAAGATGAGAATGCAAAATTTAAAAAGATGAGAACGCAAAATTTGACAAGTCCTAAAAATTTTAAAATATTAAATGAGAAAAAATTTCTTTTCCTATAATTGAGAATATTGAATTTAAGAAACTCAATTAACTACTAAAGGTGTTCATTGAGAATGCTTCCTTTGTTCTTTTGCAGGTTTATGGACCTGAGGCAACCATGACCGGCATTTGCAAGGAGGCGATTGACTGCATCACTGCTGCAGCGTAGCATTTCAACTAAAGTTTGTTCTCTTTCAATTTCTATTTAGTTTAGTAAAATTTGCAGAAATAAAATTGTACTGTTCTCTAGTGGGTCTTGAACTTATGCATCAGTAGTTGTCTTGTGGAAACATTCGAAATTGCAAGCCAATGATGTTAAAAAACAGAAGATGCTGCTAATGTTACTTGAGAAGCGTATGTTTGTACTTTGTATTGAATAGAAACCAAGTAAGCTCCCTTTCATGAATGAATGTTACTGGTCTCACACACCCCTATGTGTGTGTCTCCAGTATATAGCCAGAGACTCTATGTTGCTACGGGGAGCATTCCCGACGTTTAATTCCTCAGCTTTCGTCTAGCTTCGCCCTATGTGTGGGTCTCCATTATATGGTCAAAGGCTATACTCCAGCAGGTGCATTCTAGACATTCAGTCCCTCAGCTAAAAACTTTTATTGCAACATTTTTAGGACCCCCAATTTTTGGAATATAACCACCTCAACCAAAGAATTAATTTAAAAGGGAAATGATTACATGTATTATAAAATTTGAAAAATTTTAAAACTTATTAGCCTTTAAATGCTTTTAAATAAAATTAACCCATTCTTTATTCTCCCCCTTCTCTTCACCACTTTCACCCCTCTCTCTCTCCTCTCCCCTTCTCTTCACCACTTTCACTCCTCTCTCTCTACTCTCCCTCTTCTCTTCACTATTTTCACCCCTCTCTCTCCTTTCTCTCTCTCTCGTGGATGGGCCTAGCGACTTTCCCCGTGAAGAGGAGGAGAAGGGTGAGGGTCGAACCAGGAAGGATGGCTATTTTGTGATACATGGTTGATGTTGAGAAGAGATTCCTGCAAATTTTAGGGTTTCGAAGTTCGTGGAATGAGAGAGGCAGTTCATGGAATGAGAGAGGCAGTTTCTATTATAATGAGTCTTGTAAAATCCATGTTTCAGTTTGATGTCGAAGAGCTTTTAGGGTTTCGATCCGATTGAGGGGGTGCTGAATACATGGGAGAGATAAACTCAATTGTAAAGAAAGGTAAAAAAGAAATATCTCAAAAATCAGTTGCATTTGTAACTCTAATCGTTATTAATTTCTTTATTTCTTTTGTCCTTTATTTAACTAGAAGTTTTCAATTTGTTCCCAATCCTCGATCTGTTCACTTCTTTTACTCTATTCAACTGTACTAGAAGTTCCCGATTTGTTCCCCCTGCTTTTTACCCGGGCTTGATATGCCATGACTCCTCTAGAAAGAGAGGGGTGCTTTGGGGGAACGTTGACCCAACTAGAAACGAGTTTTCAAACACTCGTATATAAAGTATGAACAATTGTTTCATGAAAAACAATTGTAACTCTAAATGTTTTTTTAATATAATTATTATTTTTAATTTTTTTAAAAAAAATTCATATTCATGATCTACATGTTAGAAATTATAAATTAAGATAAAATTATATTTAAAGAATATATTTATTACCAAGCGCACATTTTTACAATATGCGGGCTGGCCACATGCTAACCACATCCAGAAAAGTATTAGGGAAGACAATACCCATAAAGTTGAGAGGAGGGGGCATCAACAATTTTTCCTGAAATTAATTGTTAATGTTAAAAGAAAGAAAGAAACATTCACGTGGGAGAAAAATTACTTACGCCCATAGTGTGGTTGTTTACCACGAGCCCATTTACCTTTTGTACAAAAGAGGTCACAATTATTCTCATTCATTAGATGCCAAATTAGATAGTTTGGAGTGAGTCACGAAGTATGAGAATTATATTTCCTTTTTAACTTTGTTTCTAATCAATGACAATTTTGCCACCACCCATTTTGAATTGTAAGAGACAAGAATGATCGTGACCTCTTGTACAAAAAGTAAGCCATCTCTTTCTATACAATCTCATTTTCAAATATAAGGCTACTTTAATAAAAAATTTGTTTTCAGTGGTAATTTGTTGGTTTTATTATTTTGGGAATTTCATTTATGATGATATCATATATTTAGAGCATGAGTGAAGGTAAAGGAGAAAGTAGCATCCCCACCCCTAAATATGTAAGAAAAAAATTATATAAGGGTGGGCCTTAAACAATTAAATTAATACGCACCCCAAAAATTCAGTGCGAGGTTGTTTTCATGCTAAAAAATCTTCAATCGATTATCTTGACCTCAAGATAGATAGACATGAGAAAAAATAGATTTCACAGCTTCGAAATAGTGCATCTTATCAATTTTTAAGTTTTCAAGTATTTATAGATTTGCTCGACCCATACTATTTTGAAATGGAAATGGTCTATATAGAGCCTATGCGCTAAACAATCAAATTAGAGCCTACCTCAAATTTTTCACAACAATCAAATTAGAGCCTACTTAAAAAACTTTTACTAGAAGAAGTAGTTTTGATGCTTAAATATCCTCAAATTGATCATCTCTGGCATCAATATCCAGAGAAAAAAATGGATTTCAAGTTTTGAAAATAATGCATCTTATAATGCATTTTTAAATTGTTATTTTTTAAGTCATTCAAGTTTTCATAGATACACTATTTGAAGGTGGGCTCTAATTTCATTGTTTATGGTCTCGAATATATACAAACCACACTCTTTTAAAATTTTAGAACTTCCACATTTAGTTTTTTTTTTTTTTGAGAGTAGTAACGCAGGCCCTAACCGTTTTTAGAAATAATTAGCCGTTTTCGACTGCGTCAGTGGGAATGGTGCTTTTTCCACCATCACAGCTGGTTTATAGTATGGAAATAGCATCTTTCCACGTTATTTGAAGGTGAGACTTAATTGCTCTACAAACTTAGAGCATGCGGCCCCCGTGATACAGAGAGAGGGGCATTTACATAATGGAGGATTGAGATTGAGGTCCGAGAGACAGAGAGAGAGAGGCGGCAAGGCCTTTTAGGGTTAGAGCTTGGGTGGGGTCAGGGAAGGAGTAAATTAAATGGCAGCATTTGGTTACTTCTCACGCTCCTCTTTGAACACCACTTGCAGAACTGCTATTCTACAAGAACATCATCAACAGAGGGGCCTGAACAACATAATACGCATCCCTCCTCCTCCTCCTCCTCTATCAATAAATGTGCCATCTCTCTCTTCTCATTGTTCTATGACAAATGTTAGTGCGAAGACTGTATTTCATCACAGATGTTTTGCTGGGGTGCCATATGAATCCTCCTCCTCTCCCCAATTCAAAGAGGTCCGTGGGTGTGATTTTTTTCCTTTTTTTTTGAATTGCTTGTTCTCTCTCTCCCTAGTTTTTGTTGTTTAAGGTTGTTTTTTTGGCGACTTGTTGATGAGTGGTTGTACTTTTTAATTTATTTATTGCTTTTTATTTTTATTTTCTTTTATTGGTCTTGAAGGTTGTTGAAAGCTGTTGATTTATTGATGTATGAGTACATTTGCTGCCTTTGTTTGGGTCTTTTTTTTGGGATTCTAATTAATTGATGCATTTTAATTTGATTTATTGATGGGTCTCTTCACTTTTTTTTTATTCCCATTAAATTTTTTTATTTTTTGTAGCAACTTTTAATATGTTCATTGTTTTATTTCGAAAGCACTTCTTTTTTGGAAAATATTTCCATACCATCTTTTTTTTAGGTTTCATTTCAAAAAAACCAAGGTTTTAAAGTATATTTTTAGGCATAAAAATTGTAGATTTTATTTATTCTAACCCCTAAACTAATTTAAACATGTGTTTTCAGGCCAAACAAATTTAAAAAGATATATTTATTTTTAAAACCCATCCTCTTAAATTTTTAGAAAGAGAAAGGCTTTGAGGCTTTGGAGAATCTAGAGAGTGAGAGATGCATAAAGAGAAAGAAAGAGAAGTTTGGATTATATAAGTGAAAAGAGAAACAGATAGGTTTGGAAAGAGTATGTCTTTCTCAAATATGTTTAGGTTAAAAAATAGGTTTAAAGTGGTTAGGGGGTTGGAACATATTTTTTGAAATATCGGATTTATCTAAAAATGAAACCTAAAAACATATTTTTTAAAATATTGGGTTTAGCTAAAAATGAAACCTAAGGGATAGGGAGAGTTTTTTTTTTTTTTCTTAAAAAGAATAATTCGACCTTAAATGATCTTTCTTGCGTGCATAAGTGGCTAAACTTTTTATTCTTTTTATGAATACTTAGTAGATGAAGTTTTTTTCCTACACAATTTCCAATTCTGTAAAGTTATATTTTTAAATTTTTATTTTATTTGTTGGATACTTGGAAGGCTAGCGGCTAGGTTAGTGTTATTGGTTGGCTCCTCTCCTTTTGTACATTTCTGGGAGAGCTTTTATTTATTGGTGGGTACGGTTTCTGGGATGATTGACTGGTTTGGTTGATTGATGCTTCTTTTCATTCAGAATTTCATTTTACCTGTGAATTTTGTTTATAGGTGCTTGAATCATTGATAGAAATGGAAGATTTATCAAAAGAAGAGGCAGAAGCAGCTCTTGATTATTTATTGAGTGAAGCTAATGAAGCTCAAATTAGTGCCTTTCTAGTCCTTCTAAGGGCCAAGGGGGAAACGTATGAAGAAGTGAGTACTTCTTCCCGTTAACCCTTCTTTTTTTTTTCTCTCCCAAAGCACTAAAAGAAAGGAAAAAAACATTGCAGGTGTTGCTTTATACTTGATACCACCAAAAGAAAGGAAAAGCTCTCTACTGATGTTGCTTTATGTTTGATTTTGGACTGAGTGATTATCATTTTTGCATGGATACACTATTGATCATTCAAGTTGCTCTATTTTAGATCATGTAATGAAGTATTGATATCTGCTTGTCAAAAAGTTGTTATTTTTTTTAAAGTTCATAATTAGTGCTACAAAAATTGCTTGTATTTGGCGAGCAAAGCATTGGTCTGATAGTATAAACAACAACAACAATGTCAACTGCAATGTTTCAGAAACGCTAGGCAGCCGACCTGGTGCCCAATGCCCAGAACCTCAGGAACCCTGAGGTGAAAAGTTTTTAGAAATTTCATATATGTGTTGTTCTAAAGAACATATATGGAGTTATTGGTGTTAATTTTGTATATTTTTGCACGTAGTATGTATTCTAACTAAATTTTGTCATGCAAATATATGCGCATGACCGTTGAAACATGTTCAAAACTTCAAATCATTGAAAATTTAGTGAAAAAAGTAAAAAACACAAACAAATCCATGATGTACTAGCCTCCAACTCTCAATCCAAAGTTCCAGACCGAGTATGACATACTCCATAGTGATGCACGGTCACAACTAGACAAGATGCTAGAAATATAAAAGAGAAGTATAAAACCAATAGTTCAAATGTCCAAAGTTCAATGCAAGACTCTTGCATGAAATAAAACCAATAGTTCAAATGTCCAAAGTTCAATGCAAGACTCTTGCATGAAATATAAAAGACGAGAGAGGAGATCTTTCTTTCTTCAATCATCACTAGACCAAATCTTCATAATCACATGTATCTTGGTCTCCATCTGAATTGAGTCCATCATCATCAGAATCATTACCCTCTTCAATAAATTGCTCATCTTCCTAAGTTTCTTCTGAATCAGCCTCCTCCTCCTCCGCTGTCTGCCTTACCTTTTATGAAGTAGAAGTACCAGCAGCAGTTGTAGCTCAAGTGGCCCTCCTAGGATCAAAAGCTGGACCCCGAAGCCTCCTCAACCATTTCCAGGTCAAAACCCTCATAGGGAAGACCTCTTCAGTAACTGGGTCTTCTTCCAACCACCCAATCACATTCTCCTTATCCTTTGAAGTGATGGGATCCCTCTTCTGCTGGTTGTACTTCTCCTTAGATCTCTGATTCACTCTAATAAGTACCAAATCATTGAGCTTCCTCTACTCAAGCCTATTTCTTCTCTTCGTATGCACCTAAAAGAAAATGATATGAATACTACTAGTGTACTACTACGTCTACTTGAGCCATCTAGATTGGTACTAATGTACACTAGGTTTATACCTTCCATAATAGAAAATGAACTTGTAAACATATTAACAAGAAAATAACTAAAAATGTCATCTCAAACAAACTCCAATTATACTCACAGCCAGAAGAGCTAGTTGTCAAACTCAAAATCCAAATAGCCATCATCTGGAGGTTTAGAGCACTACTCTCATGTCGGCTCCACCATCGGGCAATTTGAAATTACTATAAAGAATTTTAGCAAATTTGAAATTCAAGAATAGAACATAATTAGTCATTAAGAACTTGACAGAAAATTTTCGAATGAAATATATTATTTGGATCTAATTTGGTCCTCTGTCTCACTGTCATTTCTTTCCCAATCGACTTCAAAGCATACTTATACAAAATGAGCTCCTCAGTAGATCTTTTATCTTCGATGTCTGCATCAAGAACTAGTCTTTAAGGCACACAATAAATCCATCATGATTTTATCTTTCCCACCAATATCTAGGACAACATAAAAGACTTTTGGGTTCAAATCATACCCAGCTGCATGCAATGGTCTATAAAGCTGATATCCCACTTTTCATCTATAGTTTCCCAAATTGGGTCATACTTGGTCTCATCATTGCCAAAATTCTCTATTATCTCCTTCTTAGCTCCTTGTGCATCCTATATAAAGCTATTTAAGGTTGTCAGCATCAGCCAAGTGCAAGACCTTGACCAAGGGTAGAAATAATGCCAGTGAGTCCTTTAACCCACACTAACTTTAGAGAGAATAATGTCACGGGACCTCTTTCTTTGGGATCTATAGACCACCTACACCTACTTCAATCCTCTGAAGTAAACATAGATCTTGATGGGATCCTCATACCATATATGCTCTTAAGACTCAGGTAAGCAGTAGCAAATCTAGTTGTAACTCGGGCCTCACTAACTCCTTTTTTGCGAACTTGCGCATCAGGCTGAGGGTAATGGTGTGGCTGTAAATGAAGATTGTGACCTCCTTAGACTTCGAATGTGTCCCTTTGATACTAGACAAGTCGCCCATGGTGTCGAGCATAAGGTCTATGCAGGACAAGGTGTCCATAATATGTGAGGCCTCTTCTGCTAAGCAAATGAGCTACAACTAAATTAGGAGCAGCATTACTCTGTGACAACTTGAATTGCATGTTCCTCCCCGACCTCCTCAATGACCTTATCAATAAAACAGAAATATAATGTGCATCATGAACTTCTGCAGAAGTATCAATGAATCTAAAAAATATAGTACCCAAGGGACAATTCGCCAACAAGTTCATGATACTCCTCCTCCTATCACTCCAAGTGTCAATCGTTATGGAAACCCCGAATTGAGGCCTCCCATTTGTATGGGACTTGAGGTACTCCTTAGTGTGTTCTATTACTTTCTTCATTAGTGGTTCTGAAAGCTCATAAGAGGTTGGGCCTTTCAAACCTGGCCTAAATTGGCCAATTGTTTCTAAAATTGTATGAAAGCTACTTAAGCAAGTGGTATTAAAAGAATTTCCATCATGATAAAACCACCTAGCAATATATTGAATTACCCGGCCTCAATCTTCCTTTTTAAATATATTTTCTAGCACCACTTGCTTCGTCCCCTTTCCTTTCCCTTTCTCAGCTGTAGTCTCGGTGTTAGGTGTAAAAAAAATCAATGGGCCCTTTCATTTGAGGCATCGTAGATCCAAAAGAATTCTGAGAAATTGCCACCTGGCCCGCCTCCTTTTCCCCTTCATTATCCTTATTAGTGTTATCATCATCCAAAATGTTAAACCCCGCACTGAATTCTACCATATTCTCTTTTAGTCTTTTAATTTTTTTCAGCTTCCATGAAGTCAACAATCTTTTTCTTTACAAGATCGGAAACATTTTTACATGGGGCAACATCCCCTCTTATATCGGCAAGATGTTTATTAAATCTATTCATCCCGGCATTCGAAACATGTTCACAAAAATTAGACATTATTTTATTTTTGTCATTTTTAACTAGGTTAACATAATACTTCCATCCCAGATCCCCACTGCTATTAGATGTTGAGGAAGACATCTCAAATTCAAAAAGGAAATCATCAAATATTGATAGGAAACTAACCTTTTTGCCTGATCTTTGTTCTTCGATGTTTTTGATATGTTTCGAGCTAGAACTCACTGCAAAAATCTTGGATTAAAAAAAAAAAACTTACTGTAAAAATCTTCAAATACCTTCACTAGCACCCTAAAAAGAAATTCCAACAACGAAGGGTAAGCTTTGGGATGCTTCTTCAAGCCTCAAGACTTATTTTTTCGATTCACATAATGCTCAAAATCAAATGATTTGGGGGCTTAGATTCAAATTTGTTTTGTTCACTTTTGGGGTTTAGAATACCACCAATACTCCTATATATAATGTTCGCAGGTCAAAATGATCCAAAGTGCTCTTGGGGGCCTCTCAGGCCCTTGGGGCCCACGCAGACTAGGAGCTGGGTGCCTGCCTGGGCCGCTTGGGTGGGTGCCAAGGTACTGGCCCCAAGGAGGGCCACCCAATCCTGAGAATCCCTCTAAGGCCCTTCCAGCTAGGCAGTGGACGAACTGTTTTTTTAGACAGTGGTCGATTGATTCATAATGTGGTCATGGCAAGCTGACTTCTTTTGGACATCATATCTTGTAGCTTCCATCAAATTTGTTATCAAAGTTGTATCTTGATACTTTATGATGAGGGAGATTATTTGTTCTCCTTTGTTTTGTAACTTTCTCAATATTTTATAATTTATATGCAGATTACTGGTTTGGCTAAGGCAATGATCAAATACTGCATAAGAGTAGAAGGATTGAGTGAGGCAGTGGACATTGTTGGGACAGGTGGTGATGGTGCGAACACAGTTAATATTTCAACTGGGGCTTCTATCCTAGCTGCTGCTTGTGGTGCAAAAGTAGCAAAGGTTAATAATTATTTTTTCTTTCTATAGCTAAGATTGAGGGTTTTTTTTTTTAATGTGTTGGGTGTCTGTCTAACTGACTTTTTTCTTACTTTATGATATAATATAAGGAGAATTGTGATAACGGTGAGTATATTGGTGATATTGTTGCAGCAAGGGAACCGATCTAGTTCTTCAGCATGTGGAAGCGCAGATGTTCTGGAGGAATTGGGTGTCATTATAGATTTGGAGCCTGAGGTTAGTGAACATAAAGTTTTCTTGATGTGGTTCAATTTAAGAGAGAGAGAGAGAGAGAGAGAGAGAGAGAGAGAGAGAGAAGTAACTAACAACACTCTATAGTACTACTTTACTTTACTACGTAGGTAGGACGCGTACTTAGTAGTACTCTACGACCACCTACCTACTACTTCGT